GTTGCGACAAAGATTTGAAAGGGATATCCTTTCCTTATTCTGATCTTAGGCCATCTTAGAACTTCTTGCCGTTAAGTGTTGATATTTACTGTAAGGATTTTGTACATGCTCCTTATCAGGTTGAGGAAATTCCCCTCTGTTTCTAGTTTGCTGAATTTTTGTTATGAATGATTATTAGATGTCAATCAGATGCTTTTTCTTCATTTATTTGATATTATGATTTTTCTTCAGCCTGTTAATGTGACAGGTCACATTAAATGATTTTGAATGTAGAGTCAACTTTGCATATTTGGGATAAATACCACTTGCTTTTGGTGTATAACTCTTTTTAAACATTGTTTGGATTGGATTGCCAATATTTTGTTGAGGATTTTTTTATCTCTTTATGAGAAATATTGATCTTTCCTTTCTTACAGTATCGTTGGTTTTGATACTAAGGTAATGCTGCCTCATAGAATGGGCTAGGAAGTATTTTCTCTCTCTTCATTTTCTGGAAGAGTATAGAGACTTGGTATAATTTCTTCCTTAAATATTAAGTCAAATTCACCAGGGAACCTGTCTGGGCCTGATACTTTCTGTTTTAGAAGTTATTATTGATTCAGTTTCTTTAATAGCTCATACCTATTCACATTATCCATTTCTTCTTGTGTGAATTTTGGTAGATTGTGTCTTTGGAGGAATTCCACTGGGATCTGAGAATATACTTTATATGGTTTCTGTTCTCTTAAATTTATTTAGGTGTGCTTTATGGCCCAGAATATGTTCCATCTCGGTGAATGTTCATGTAAACTTGAAAAGAATATGTATTCTTTTGAATGATGTTGGATGAAGTAGTCTGTTAATGTTAGTTATATCCAGTTAATTGAGAAGGTTGAGTTCACCTTCATCTTTAATCATTTCCTGCCTGCTGGATCTGTCTATTTGTGAGAGGAGATGGACGTTGAAGTCTTTGATTGTGTTAGTTTATTCATCTGTTTCTCCTGTAGTTATCAGTTTTTGCCTCATGTGAATTTTAAGCTCTGTTATTAGGTGCATATATATTAAGGATTGTTATGTCTTAGTGACATGACTTCATTTTTATTTTATGTATTTATTTAACATCTCTCTTTAAAGTAGGTTTGTGTAGACAAAAGATAGTTGTGTTTTGAATTTTTTTCCAATCTGACAGTTTTTGTTTTTTAATTGGTATATTCAGACAGTTCACACTTAAAGTGATTGTTGATATCAGTGCATTAATAACAACCTGTTTGTTGTTCTTGTTTTTTGTTTGGTCTTCCACTCCTTTTTTTTTTCTGGTTGCACTAGGTCTTTGTTGCTTTGTGCAGGCTTTCTCTGGTTGCAGTGAGCAGGGGCTACTCTTCACTGCACTGCTCATGCTTCTCATTGCAGTGGTTTCTCTTGTTGTGGAGCACAGGCTCTAGGGCATGCAGGCTTCAGTAGTTGAGGTGCACAGGCTTTAGTAGTTGCAGCGCACAGGCTTTAGTAGTTGCAGCTCATGGGCTTTAGAGTGCAGGCTCAGTAGTTGTGGCACATGGGCTGAGTTGCTTTGTGGCATGTGGAATCTTCCCAGACCAGGGATTGAACCTGTGTCCCCTGCATTGGCAGGCAAATTTCTATCCACTGTACAACCAGGGAAGTCCCCTTTATATGATTTTATTTGAGCATTTTGTATGATTCCATTGTTTCTCCTTTCTTAGCATATCAGTTTTACTTCTTTATGAATATTTTTAGTGGTTGCTCAAGGGTTTGCAGAATACATTTATATCTAATTTAAATCCATTTTCAAATAACATTACCTTGCTTCACAGGTGGTGCAGGTACCTTATAACCAATTATTTCCAGTTCCTCCCTCTGTCCCATATAATGTATTATCATTCATTTCACTTTTCCCTAAGCTATAATCACTGAATGCATCTTACAGTCTTTGTTTTGAACAAACTGTTATTTCTTAGGTCAATTACAATAAGAAAAGTAGAAGGTATTTTACCTTCATATATTTCTTCTCTTAGGTTTTTTTCCTTGAAATAGATAAGTTGCTGACCAAATCATTTCCCTTCTCTCCAAATAAGTTCTCATTTCCTGCCAAGTAATCATGAAATCCCCCAATTTTTGTTTGTCTGAGAAAATCTTGATTTCCCCTTCACTTTTGAAGTTTCACCAGATACAGAAGTTTAGGTTGGTGCGTTTTTCTTTCAGTGCTTTAGTATCTCACTCTTCTGTTGCTTGCATGTTTTCTGAGGACAAGTTTGATACAGTTGTTGCTATATTATTATTCCTGCTTGCTTCTTCCTAGGTAAGGTGCTATTTGCTGTTTTCTTGTGGCTTCAGGGTTTTCTCTGTCTTTGATTTTTTTTTTTTGCAGTTTGAATATGATATGCCTAGATGCAGTTTTTTGGTTTTGTTTTTCGTTTTGCTGTTTATCCTGCTTGATATCCTCTGAGCTTACTGGGTCTGTGGTTTTGGTGTAAAATTCTCAACCATTATTACTTGAGGTATTTCTTGTGTTTCTTTTTTTTGTCTGTGCCATGCAACTTGTGGGATCTTAGTTCCTCAATCATGGATCAAACCTGGGCCCTCCAACAGTAGAAGTGCAGAGTCCTAACCACTGGACCACCAGGGAAGTCCCTTCCTGTGTTTTTTTCCTCTCCTTTTTCTGGCAGTCCCATTGCACGTTTATTATACCTTTTGTAATTTTCTGTTTTTGAATATTCTGTTCCTTTTTTGTTTGTTTTTTCCTTCTCCCCTACCCCCACCCATTTCCTTTTCAGTTTTGAGAGTTTTTACTGACATATCTCTGAGCTCATTGATTTTTCCCTTGTCTGTGTCCATCTGCTGATGAACCCATCCAAAGCATTTTTCATTTCTGTTGTAATGTTTTTGGTTTTTAACATTTCTCCTCGATTTTTTTAGAATTTCCATCTCTTTGTTTACATTGCACATCAGCTCTTGGATGATGTTCACTTAATTATAACCCTTAGCATATTAATCATGAAAGTATTAGTCACTCAGTCATGTCTGACTCTTTGCAACCTCATGGTCTGTAGCCTGCCAAGCTCTTCTGTCCATGGAATTCTCTAGGAAAAAATATTGGAGTGGGTTGCCATTTCCTTCTCCAGGGAATCTTCCCGATGCAGGGATTGAACCTCAGTCTCCCGCATTGCAGGCAGATTTGTTACCGTCTGAGCCACCAGGCTAAGTAATTAAGTGCTAGTCACTCAGTTGTGTCCGACTCTTTGCGACCCCATGGACTGTAGCCCTCCACGCTTCTCTGTCCATAGAATTCTCCAGGCAAGAATACTGGAGTTATTAATCATAGATATTTTAAATTCTTGGTCTGATCACTCCAAAACCTCTGCTGTATTGAGTTTGATTCTGATGCTTTTCCTGTCTGTCCAGTGTTTTTTTTGCCTTAGCATGCCTTGTAATTTTTTTTTTTTTGGCCTTGTAATTTTTTGTTGAAAGCTGGGTGTGGCGATTCAGGTGAGAGGAGCTGAGGTAAAGAGGTCTTCGTGTGAGGCTATGTATTTATGTGGCCAGGAATCAGGCTGTGTTGACTGTTGGCTGCAGCTGTGTGCCGTTAAAAGGGTCCAATATGTGGCATCTCCTATTGTACGGGCGCCCCTGGGTGCAGTGGGGTTGCTGGGGAGGGGAGCGCTCTAGCCCTCTTATGAGTAGGTCTCTGTCGTCCAGGGAGCGTGTGCCCCTGGGCTGTGACCCTCACACACACGTCTTATTTAGGAGGGACAGAACTGCTGGGGGGCTGGAGTTGGTATTTACCTTTCCCCAGGTGGGTCAGGCCCTGGTCAAATAGTTTTCCTTGAGAAAAGGCCCTTGTTGAAGAGAGCAAAGTACCAGTCACAGTTGGAAGTGCTTTCTTCCCCCCGCCCCACCAGAAGCTGAAGACAACTTCTGAGAATCCTGGCTAGGGGGGCCTCCTGGAGGTAGAGCTCAAGTAAGCCGGAGGACCCGTATGACTGGCCCCAGAGTTGTGTCTTAAGCTCGTCCATGCCTACGTCCATCCCTTGGTTAGCCCCCTTCCGATATGCCTGCCCACTTGCAGCTAGCTTCTCCCTGTGGGCTGTGATTCTCTGTCCCCTGTTGCTCTCTCCAGTTTTGGCGGAAGCAGTTTGTGACCTTATTCTCTGATGGATCTGAGAAGACATGTTCATTTGTTCAGCTCTTTTCTTGTGAGAACAGTAGTGACGACTTTACATGTGGAACCAGATACACAAAGTTCATTGTCATCCTGTTAACAGTAACTTTAAAAATTAGAGGATCAGAAGTGTCGAGTGTAAGAGATCTATTCTTGGAGAGGAATCAGTATAACCCATTAAAGCACATTTAACACCTGTGGTGATTGGTGGTGATGTGAGCACAACTCACACTGCGTCCGCGCCACACTCAAGACCCTAGTCATTGAGGTTTGTTAGCCAAGTGCTTCATGCCCTCCTGTCACTTCTTTTTCTGTGCTCATCGCTCAGCTGCCTGGCCCTTGATGATTTAATATGTTTCCTTTTTAGCAGATTGTTCAGAACTATTGTTTGCAGTTTCCAACTGTGATCCGGAAACACAAGCCATCCTTGTCTTTTCCTTTTATTTTTTTATCTTTTGGCCGCACCATGTAGCTTGTAGGTTTGAACCAGGGCCCCTGCAATGGAAGCCAAGAGTCCTAACCACTGGACTGCCAGGGAATTAGTTCTCTTATCTGCCTTTTTAGTATACAAATTCCACCAAACTAGTTTTGAGGTGTCCTTTGCAGGACTTTGATGACAACATCGATGCAGTGTGGTGGGAAGTGTGGGAGTACTCTCCTCAGCCAGTAGAGATTTTACTAAAAATTTGGAGCACACTGCCTAGAAGAGGCCCCCACTGCGAGCTGGGACTGCGGCCGGCCAGCCTGTGGTGGGAATATACAAGGCTTTCGCGATGTTCTATGGCCTTTGATGGTGTTGGCTCACCTTCCCTTGCTCATGGCACTTCCTCTCTCCACTTTCTTTCAGTATTTAGGTCAATTAACATCCATACCAGGATACCTGAATCCTTCCAGTAGGACCGAAATCCTGCATTTCATAGACAATGCAAAGGTAACCCCATCTGCCTGACTTAGCCTGCTCTACCCCCATCCCTGACCTCTGACCCTCAGCCTGCTCCATCTCCTAACTCTGACCTCTGACCCTTGTTTTCTGACACCAACTCTTGGCCCTCTGACCCTGGGCCTTTATGGCCATGAGGGGTGACTCAGTCCCATCATGTTAAGTGTGCACTTGGCCCCTGGCCTTACCTTTCCTCAGTCTGAACATTAACTTTTATTCTCCAGGCTTGCTCCTTGTGGTTTTGGACTGTTTTCAAAATTCACGTTTTCAAGATATCCAAACCACACCCCACAGGTCCGAATCTAAAGGCAGTTCCAGAAGAACCCTCCATGTGGTTTGAACACAGCAGGGTCGTGGGAGCAAGCATGGGAGTGGCGCCCTGCTTGTCAGCACTGGCTGTGTGGGTTGCGTGCACCACACATGGTGCAGGGTCCCAGGGCAGCCCGTGGCCCTGTGTTTCTGATGCAGTGTGGTTCCTTCCAGAGAGCCCACCAGCTCCCCGGACACCTGACCCAGGAGCATGACGCTGTGATCAGTCTGTCTGCCTACAACGTCAAGCTGGCCTGGAGGGACGGGGAGGACACCATCCTCAGGGTCCCCATCCATGACATTGCTGCCGTGTCCTACGTGCGAGATGATGCCTCACACCTGGTGGTCCTGAAGACAGGTATGACTGGGGGTGGGGTCAGGAGGGTCCTTGCCAGAAGCAGCCCCCACCTCTGTCCTGAGGCGTGCATTGTGGATTTCATGGCACTCTGGAGACAAGTTTCTACAATTTGGGTCAGCCAACTGCTGCCTGCTGTGCCTGGGAACTAGCCCTCTCTCCAGAGAAGGGCAGTGACCCAGGAAGCTGTGGTCTCTGGGTCCTGAGCTCAACCACTATCTCGGTGCAGCCCACTTTGGGGATGCTGGAGTGGCCTCTGGCACCCAGCCTGGTAGACACCCTGGGCGCAGGCGGCTCCAGAGGCTGAGGGTGGGGCCTTAGCTCAGCCTAACCAACATTCGGGCCTTCCTTTGGCCACACTGTCTTCCCAGTGCTGGCAGTGCAGGGAGGAGACCAGACCAGCAAGGAGCTCTCGATCTGTGAGACGCTCTGAGCGTGTCCTTGTAGGAGAACCCGAGAGCCATCAGTCCCTGTCACCCAGCCCACTCCCCTTGCCTGATGAGGATACAGTGCCACCTTACTTGGCACTTCCCGACAAGCTGTCTGTCAGGGTCTAGAATCTCTGCCCCAGCATAAGTCCCTGAGAAGTGAGGAGAGAAGTCACGGTTCACTCATGCCATGCCCTTCCCGGGTGGATTCTCAGGTTGTCACTGTGGCATGGATGCCATCCCTGGGCTCCTTTAGGCACTGGCAATGGCTGGGTTGCCCCCTGGAGTCGTGCATTTCCAGGGGGCTGGTGGCGGCATGTGAGGGTGGCCAGCTGGATCGGCCTGGGCCACACACTGTGCTTCAGGCGGTGCAAAGGAAAAGTTGTATTTCTGCTTGAGGTTGGTAGTCCACACGGATCTGAGGGCTTTTTAAGAGCCAGGGCCCTGAGGAGCTTTCTCATTACTGACCCCTTGAGCTTCAAGGAAGTTCATATTAAAGGGCCCGTGAATCTGGTGGGGATGCGGCAGGCTACCTGCACAGGTAATGGGAAGGGTTTGTGAAGGTGGCGGCTGGAGTGTATCATAGCCCCTTGACTTTGTATGGCTGTGGCTTAGTGTCCCCCCACAGAGTCACAGACACACACCACACATACCGCACATACTTGTAGCACCCATCCACATACACTCATTCACATGCACTCACACACTCAGGTCCCACACACACTCACAAATGCTCACTTGTTCTCACACACACACACATACACACACACTCCTGTTCTGTCATACTGCACTTTTGAGCACGGTCCCCTCTGTGCTCTGCTTATTTTTCATTTCCCTTCATTGTGTTCAGTAGTGGTGGTGGTGTTGCTCAATCGCTAAGTCATGTCCGACTCTTTGTGGCCACATGAACTGCAGCACGCCAGGCTTCTCTGTCCATCACTATCTCCTTGAGTTTCCTCAAACTCATGTCCATTGAATCAGTGATGCCATTCAATCATCTCATCCTCTGTCGCCCCTTCTCCTCTTGCCCTCAGGTTTTCCCAGCATCACTGTCTTTTCCAGTGAGTCAGCACTTCACATCAGGTGACTAAAGTATTGGAGCTTCACCTTCAGCATCAGTCCTTCCAATGAATATTCAGGACTGATTTCCTTTATGATGGACTGGTTGGATCTCCTTGCAGTCCAAGGGACTCTCAAGAGTCTTCTCCAGCACCACAGTTCAAAAGCGTCAATTCTTTGGCATTCAGTTTTCTTTGTAGTCCAACTCTCACATCCATACATGACTACTGGAAAAACCATAGCTTTGACTATACAGGCCTTTGTTGTCAAAGTGGTATCTCTACTTTTTAAAACACTGTCTAGGTTTGACATAGCTATTCTTCCAAGGAGCAAGTATCTTTTAATGACAGGCATTATTCTGAACAACACAAAGCTGCCAACTTTTAACCATTTTAATCTAAAAAAAAAAAAATGCAATTTAATATGTCTCAAACTAGTAGAAAGCACATGAATGATCTTATTTAGTCTCCACAAGAAACCTGTAAGGAGGATTCTGTTTCCTTCCACCTTTACCGGTGGACTCACTGAGAGCAGGTGGGTTGGGTGACTTGGCAGGGTCCCCCGGTTGTTTGATGGTGGCTGATTGGTTGAGGAACTGTGTAACTGCTTCCACCAGTGCTGCCCAGCTCCGTGGTGACTGCTTTTCCCTGCATGGGGACTGTCCCTGCAGGAGGCCCGTGGTATGGGGCCTCCCTGGGGACCAAACAGTGAGGCGAGTGCTTCTGGCTGGGAGCCACAGACCTTAGGGCTGGTGGGAGGGGAGCTAACCCCTGGGTTTCTTGTGTCCAGAACATTTCTCAGTGTTAATTGTAGAATACATTGTCTGGAAAATGAGTAACCGATTTTCTAAGAGACAGAATGAACACCACAGGAGAAGGTTTCCAAAAAGAGATGAAAACCGGGACCCCTCAGGGCTTTGAGAGCTTTCCAGTTAAAAGGAGAGTGAACTCCATTCTGTGTTCCGGAGGGACCTCCTCGTTCTAGCGGCTCTTCCTGAGGGAAGTCACCAGCCCCGGGGGCCTCTCGGTCTCTCAGAGGCACTTGTCGCAGCAAGTGGCTGTGTCTGAGGTGATGCACGTGGCTGTCCTCAGCACTGGCACTGGCAGTGGTAGCTAACACTTACTGAGTGCCTCCTACACAGGGGCCTGTCTTTGATGCCTCCCCTGGCCTGGGCTGTGCTGGCATTGGGACAATGTGGTGTCGGGGGTCGGGGTCAGGTCTGGCCGCAGGAGGCCCTGTGTGTCAAGCACGGCTTGTGGAGACGTCTCATTAAGGGATGTTTCTGTGGACATGGGAAGGTGGGCAGTGGATCTAAACCGGGAACTGTGGGGACAGCCTGTGGGACTGGGGATGGATGCTGCTGGGCTCGCCGTGCATGGGTTTGGAGCCACACACCTGTTTCCTTGGGAGCAGCCACGGCTGTGAGCCATAAAGCTATTTAAAATGTCCTAGAACATCTTGCCAGCATGGTCACTGTAGCAGTCACTAGTGAGCAATCTCACAGTATTCTTTGTCCTGACTCTCAGACCCTGTGGGTGCTTTTCGTTGGGTCCCAGCTCAGCGCCTATGGCCCATGGCCGTGGGATGGTACAGTCAGGGTCTGACAGTGGGATTCTTGGGGCTCAGCCTCCACATGGGGTGCCACCAGCCTTGCTCTACAGAGCCCTGGTCTTTGCCAGCCCATGCACCCCAGAGTCTGGCTTTTCCTAGCTGGGGTCCTGTCTCAGCACTGTCTGAGCTTTGGGTGGTCTCCCTGCTCGGCTGGGCTTGCCCTGAGATATCCTGGCACCAGGGGAGCTCCAGCCTTCCCTGGCACTTCCTACTCCTGGGTGTGTCTCAGTGGATCTGCCTGGAGCCCGCTTCTGCAGAAGCTTCCCTGGGCCACAGCCCCCACTTCCGGCCTCAGGAATCCCCCTCAAGTCCTACGAGACCTTGTGTGTGTGGAGGTGGTGGTGTGTAGTGTTAACAAATAGGCGGGTGGTCTCATGGCTAGATCCCAACCTGGGCTCTGCCCCTCATGCACCCTCGGACACAGCCCTCCGCCCCCTCTGCCTCAGTTTCCTCATCTCCTGTCAGGATTGTGTCTTAAGCCTGTCATTAGAACTCTGTGAATACCTTCTTTTTTTTAAAAAAAAAATTTATTTATTTGTCTCCACTGGGTCTTAGTTGCAGCGTGTGAACTCTTAGTTGCAGTATGTGGGATCTAGTTCCCTGACTGGGGATCAAAACCCAGGTCCCCTACACTGGGAGTGTGAAGTCTTAGCTACTGGACCACCAGGGAAATCACTGTGAATACCTTCTTTTGTGTAGATCAGAAGCAGCTAAATATTGGCAGTTTCCGTCTGAGATATTCACTCTGTCTTTGGCAGAGAAGCTAGAAGGTCATGTTAAGGTGGTGGTTTTGAGTGGGCAGTGGCAGGGGAGGGTCCTCTTTTGAAGGGAAGATGAGGGCGGGGGCTTGCCTGGCTCGGTCTGTCCCCACCTGAGTCAGGTAGAGGCTGCCCAGAGCCTGCCGTTGAGCTCCCACACCAGCCCTAACCTGCCATGGTGTTGACTTTCCAGCCCAGGACCCCGGCATCTCCCCCAGCCAGAGTTTGTGTGCAGAAAGTTCCCGAGGCCTCACCACAGGCTCCCTGTCGGAGAGCGGAGTGGGGCCTGTGGAGGCATGCTGCCTGGTGATCCTGGCCGCGGAGAGCAAGGTGAGCAGGGTTGGTACCTGGGACCCAGGCCCTGCCCATCCCCACCCATATCCTGACTCAGCCCCACCCCACCCATAACTTGCCAGGCTCCACCCATTCCAGCCCCAGCCCCACCCACCACCTGACCCAGGTCCCACTGAGTCCCAGTCTGATACCTCCATGCTGGTTCCTTCTTCTCTTGGTTGGCCCCACCTTTCCCTCCCCCATGTGGGGGCTGTGGTCTTCACACCAAGCTGTGCCATTGGGGAAGACTCCGGGGGAGTGGTTTGAGGCCCACCATAGAGCTGCCAGCCTCAGGGAGCCCCCTGATACCTTCTGTTTAATTTTCACATCTTTAGTAAGACCAGAGCAGGGATGGTGGTCTTTGGCAGCCTCTGATGAGTCTCCCTCCTCATCACTGCCTACCGTCTACCTGAGTAGTTCTTCCTTCTGGGGCCGCCTCCCTGGCTTGTCCCCACTGGGAGCTCCTCCAGATGTTGCCCCCTGTCTCGGGGGAAGAGCCTCCCCAGGTGGGACCCGCGTTGACAGCACATGTGTGAAGGGTTGTGTGGTGTCAGGAATGCTGTCCACGTGCCCTGGCTCGGATGCTGTCCGCTCTCTGCCCTTTTCCTGAGGCTGGCACGGGTGCTGAGATGGCTGTGGGTGGGAGAGCAGTGCAGGAGGAGGGACAGAGGTGACGCTCCTGTGGGTCCAGAGAGCCTCCTGGGTGTGGGCTGGCATCCTTGTGGCCCTGTTGGGCAGTGGGAGACAGTGGGCCCTGTTTCTAGGTGTTCTTTCTGCATCTGAGGTGTCGGATGCCCAGGAAGCTGCCTGGAAGGCTCAGGCTTGTCCTCCATTGGCAGGTTGCCGCGGAAGAGCTGTGCTCCCTGCTTGGCCAGGTCTTCCAGATCGTGTACACGGAGTCCACCATCGACTTCCTGGACAGAGCCATATTTGATGGGGCCTCGACACCCACCCACCACCTATCCCTTCACAGTGGTACGTGAGCAACTGGGCTCCCTCTCCCCTTTCCACCAGGGCTCTGCTGCAAGCTCCTGCCAGAATAGCACTTTGGTGGCCACCATCCGGGGCGGAGTTTGAGTCAGCACCCTTCATTCCCAGACTTCACTGTTCAGGTGTTCTCCCCACTCCCTCTGGAGGCCCCCTGGTGGCTTCCTGCATAACTCTGGGGGCCAAGAACACTTACTTTGGAACCACTGGTGGCTAAAGTCACTGTACCAAACTTAAAAGTGAGGGCTGGGAGGGGCTCCCTGCACCATGGGTGTGGGGCCCCTTCCAAGGTGCAGGCTGCCCAGGGCAGGGTGGGGGTGGCGGTGGCTGGAAGAGCACAGAGCCCAAAGGCGGTGCAGAGGGACTGGCGCTCAGAGCACCGGGGAGTGTTTCTGGGAATTGTAAGCGCACAGCACGCTTCATTTACATGTAGCCCACTGAAGCTCAGTCTTGTAAACACCAGGAGCGTCGTGGTGCTGGTGTAAACACCAGCATTTATTTATTTCAAATAAATAGTTTATTGAGGATCCGTGGCTTCTGTCAGGGGAACAGGAAGAAAGATATTGGAGACAGCTCAGTGGTAGCCTCCAGGGCTGGAGGCCGCTGGTCTCTCTGTGGAGAGGAGTGCAGCCCCACACCCTTCAGTGCGGCTCACACATCCCAGTGAACAGCACAGAACCCTCTGCATGTAAACACGAATCTGCAGGGGCTCTTTGATGAAGGGCTGGTTCCTTGGCTGCGTCCTCATCTCGCTGTTTGTGCTGGAGCTGCTTGCAGCCCCACAAAGATACCCTGGTGAGGCTGGTAGTCTGTCCTCATGGGCAGGTGGGAAGGTTGAGGCCCCAGTGGGCAGCAGATGGTTTACTGAGCTATAGTTAAACATTCAGCTTTAGTGTGATGCTTTGGCCCTTGCTTTTTTTTTTTTTTTTTTAATATACTGTTGTACTAAAAGATACACACAAATCGAAAGTGTACAGCTGAATGAGTTTTCACGAAGTAGACACAGGGATGTGCACTGTCTATTGATGAAGCTTCTCTTGTTCTGGCCACTGGGGAGCCTGCTTCAGCCCCGCCACTTGGCACATCTTCGGGGACCAGAGCATTGTCCTGGCTCCTGACCAGACCCACGGCAGGTGGTGCATCTCAGGAGAAGCAGGTTTGGGTGGAGCCCAAAGAGTGTACCCCAGGGGCCTGGGTGGCTCCCCACCGCCAGGGCTCTGCCTCTTCTGCTTAGCACGTGGATACTGGGCTCAGGGCCCCCTCCCTCACATAACCAGAAGCTTCTGTGTTCTACATTTCTTGCACAGATGACTCTTCCACAAAGGTGGACATGAAGGAGCCATATGAGACGGAAGCCAGCACTTTGTGAGTACCCCTACCTGGGTCTCAGCATTGCCCATAAAGCTGCCTGGTCCCACCTTCCTTCCCCAGTTTCAGGAGTCTCCCAGTGAATGGGCTCCTTGGGGTCACACTAGTGTTGTCATCGCTCCACTGAGACCCTGCTAGGCTGCTGGCCCCTTCCCTGCACATGTCCTTCTCTGTCTTTCCCCAAGCACCTCCTCCATGACAGGCCTCCTCTTTTCTCAGCCCCTGGCTCTCACTGGATCCCTGGGGGTGAGGGTGAGGCCCGGGGCAGGGCTGGGGGCCACCGACTCACATCCTGGCTTGTGCCTTGCAGCTCCTTCCCCGAGTGTGCACATGCAGGTGGCGTCTCGCCCTTGTCCTTCTGCATGCAGACAGCACCCCATGCCAAGACAGTTAGCGAGAGTGAGCTGAGCGCCACGGCTGCCGAGCTTCTGCAGGACTACATGCTCACGGTACGCCGCCTTCCACTTGCCCACCAAGGTCAGAAGATGCTGGCCCTGCCGGCAGGCCTGTGTGCAGTGCCTACGGGCTAGGAGCTCCCTGGAGGAGGTGGGAGGAAGGCTTGCTTTCCCATGGGTGGAGCTGGGGGGAGCAGGGATGCCTTGCTTACAACTGGGCCTTGAAGTCTTTCCTACCAGGTCAGTTTTTGGGAAAGAGCATGAGGTGGCCAAGGCCTGAGCGTGGGGCTGCTCTGGCCTCTGGGGCTGAACCACAGACCTGTCTCTGGGTCTCTGGTGGGGAATGGTGGCATGGGTTGCAGGTCATTCCCTGGAAGGGCCAGATGGGCCTTATCGCTCAGCAGACTTTTCCCCTGTTCCTCGACTTCATGCCATTAAAAACTTGGTCAATACACCGAATATCACTCTGGGCTCTGTGTGCACTTCTGTGGCTCCTGGCAGTGGTGTCAGACATGCGCCCTCCACCCACTGATGGCGAGCCTGGCCAGCCAGGTTGCAGGTTAAAGCAGATGGCGTGGGCTGGTCTCTGAGGCACTGGTGTGGGGCCTCGGTGTTGGTGTGGGGTTCCCCTCCCTCCTGCTGACCCTCCAGCAGGGGTCAAGCTGGGTGTGGGCAGGGTGGAGGCAACGCCGGTCACCACCCTGCCGCGGGCCTGCTCTCTCGGCAGCTGCGCACCAAGCTGTCATCACAGGAGATCCAGCAGTTCGCAGCACTGCTGCACGAGTACCGGGACGGGGCCTCCGTGCACGAGTTCTGCATCAACCTGCGGCAGCTCTACGGGGACAGCCGCAAGTTCCTGCTGCTCGGTGAGTGCGGGGCGGATAGGGGCTCCCTTAGGGAGGGGGGCCAGCCAGCCAGCAAGCTGCGTGGTTCTTCCAATGGCTCTTCCCAGTGACTCTGGGGACCCTGCCCCTGGGGAAGCAGGAGGGGCCCCTGGGGAGCCAGACTTGGGGTGAGGTGGGCACTGCATGCCTGGCAAGGGCTGAGGGAGGCTCTTCAGAGGAAGTTGATGCAGGGACAGGTTTGGGGGAGTAGGCAGGAGCTTGCTGGGCGGAGGAGTGATGACGCCATTCCCAGTGAAAAGCAGCCTTAGCTGAGGCCCCGAGAGAAGAGCCTGCAGAGTCAGCAGGGCGGGCGGGTACTCAGGGCCTGCCACAGCCAGCCAGATGCAGCCCTGGATGTGTGTCCACATGCACAAGCACAGTGGAGCGACTGTGCTTTCCCTATGCCGATCCCAGAGAATGTGGCTGGTGGAGGCTCCCAGGTCCTGGGCTCTGCCCCCAACAATGCAAGGAGGGTGCTCTGCTGATGGAGTGGGGGTGGAGGTGAAGGGCTGAGGGCAGACCTGCATCCAGTCTGACCTCTTGCTGACTCCATAGGCCCCTTGGAGAGTCAGCCCAAGCCAAGCCTGGGGTCCAAGGCCTGTTTCGTATTGTCCTCATATGAGAGTAGGTTTTCTTATACCTACTTTCCAGGAAGTAGGTGGTCACTTGGGAGCTGGGCAGTGGGGCCTGGTGCTTGGAGCCCGGTTTCAGCTTCCCCTGCACCCTCTCCTCTCCTGTGTTTGGAAACCTGTGAAGTGGCGCTTTCCTGAGGACCAAGGGGAGTGATATAAGTGTGGCTTCTGGCCTGCACCAGCCCTGTTGCCAAGGCAGGGCCAGTCCACAGCACCTGTCAGGATTGGGGCAGACACATGGGGCAGGTGGGGTGGGTTTATCCAGGCCATGGGACCCCCGGGACAGGCACACATGTGCTTTCAGCAAGAGGCTTGGCTTAGGGTCAGGTGGGCCATGTGTCTGCAGGTCTGCGGCCCTTCATCCCTGAGAAAGACAGCCAGCACTTCGAGAACTTCTTGGAGACCATTGGGGTGAAGGATGGCCGTGGGATCATCACGGACAGCTTCGGCAGGTACCGCCGGGCCACGAGCTCCACCTCCACCTCCACCTCCAATGGGAACAGGGCCGCAGGCAGCTCTGACGACCAGTCTGCGCCCTCGGAGGGGGATGAGTGGGACCGCATGATCTCGGACATCAGCAATGACATCGAGGCGCTGGGCTGCAGCATGGACCAGGACTCAGCCTGATGGCACCCGGGCCCCTGCCAGTTGCCCTCCTGGGCCCCGGACACAGGTGGCTCTACTGTGAAGGAGGCACCCCCATGCCGGGGCAGAAAGTCAAGCTGCACCCACCTGCATGCCACCCTGCCTCGGGAGGGGTCCTGTCAGCCAGACCCTGGACAGCTGTCATTTTGCACACGACGTTTCTATTGAAACTCTCAGAGACCTTAAAAGAAGTTTACTGCAATGTGAATAATTTATCTCTGGTTGCCATTGTGTTTCTGCTCCAGTGGGATAAGAGCTGGGGACTCCTGTCTGGCCTCTGTCTCAGACCCACATGCCCTGGCGGGGCACGGTGGACTGAACACTTGTGCCCGACACCTCCAGGGAGGGCCTGATTTGGGTGTGGACACAGGGCAGGGAGCAGGTGTCCTGAGCACATGTGGACATGAGCACTGGGCTCTCGGAGGGGCTCGCTGTCCTCCAGCCCTTCATCCGTGCCCATGACCCCAGGCCACATTGACCGTCATGGTGGTTCACGGCAAACCTGCACACCATGTCTTCACCAGAAGTGCCATCCTCACCCTGAGAGCATGGCGTCTTGGAGCCCAGGGTCCCCCTGGTCATCAGGGAGGCCAGTGGGGGCCTGTCAAACCCCTTGGCCTTGGTCCCCCCTGGGCGGGGCCCCTCCTGTGCCCTTGGAACATGGGGAGGTCATGGGGGTGACCTCAGGGCTGTCAGCCTGGAGGCTGGGGCCTGGCACTGCAGTGCAGGTGCGGGGAGGCCCAGCTCTGGGACTCCCTCCTCATCCCCGAGATACCTCCACACCTTGAGGCTCCTGACTGCATAGGCAAGAAGCCCTGGGCTCAGCAGGGTGGGTACCTGAGCCCCTGGGAGGGAGGATAGGGATGTGGGCTCTCTGTCCAGCCCTGTGGGAACCAGGCAGGGGTCTGCAGTCCCCTAGGCTCCCTACCCGCTGACAAGGGGTAGGACTGGAGGAGGGATCTCAGACCTCATTCTGGCCCTGGTGGACCAGGTGCTGGCTGTGGGCCCGGGCTGGGCTGAGCTAAGGGAGACAGTTGGTAGATGCCGTCTCTAGGTGTGTGTGCAAATCAGCCTGCCCTGGAAGCATCTGGAACAGCTAAAGATAGCCACGTGGGCCAGGGGCCATCCCTTCCATAGCCCACCCTGTGCTTGTGAACAGTGGGGACCTCGTGTCCCATGAGCCTTCTGTGATGGTCAGGACTGCTGCTCTTCTCCAGGGGCTCCACCCACATGTGGTCCCTCATTCAGTGGTCTCCCTCTTTTGTCCTGGGACATCACCCCCACCCTGTGGGTCCCGGGACTTTGTAGGAGAGAGAGGACAGGGAGAGGATGGTGACTGTTAAGAGTTGGGCCACAGGGAGGGGCCAGGAACTTCGGGAGATTGTGCTGTTTGCCTGAGCAGACGCTACTTCCCGCAGCTCCTCCAGCTCGGGGGCCCCTGCATCTGGGGAGTTCCTTCCAGAAACTTATTCCCAGGCCCATGCCTTGGACTACAGCCAAGTGACTGGACTGTCCACAATCCCTGGGCAAGGTGGATTCCCTGGGACGCGGGGGAGGGACCACCACCCTCCTTGGGACCTGTGTGGCTTCAGGAAGTGTCTGCACACCTCCTGCAATCTGTTTAGCCAGAGCCTGTGCTGGAGGAGCAGAGAGGCGACGAAGGGACACCACTTTATTGAGCAGCAGAGCTAGGGGGCAGGGGTGGAGCCGGGTCTCTGGTCAGCAACTACATTGTCAGCTCCTGTGAGAATTGCAGAAAGAGAGGGTCATGTTGGGGACAGGCCCCGGCAGACAGCAGCAGGGCACCTGTGAGGGGGCCAGCCACTCACCATGATGGCGTTGACGATGTCACTCTGGTTGTCCCTCAGGGCCCGCACGGCCTTGGCCCTTGACACGTTGGCCTGCGCCATCACCAGCTCGATGTCGCGCAGCTCCAGTCCTGCCTCATCCACCTGGAGCGGGATGTGCAGGGAGGTGCTGCAGCGGCCCGCTCCCCCAGGGAGAGGCCCCCAGGCCAGGCTGCCCCCTCCCCGAGGGGCCCGGGCCCCGTGGCCTCACCTCCTCCTCCTCCTCCTCCTCCTCCTCCTGCTCGCACTCGGGTCTCGCCCTCGGCCCAGGCGCTGACTCGGGCACCAGGGCGGAGGGCTCCGAGGGCACCTTGAACTTCTCGGCCGCAGCCCTGTGCACCTGCTGCGACAGGTCCTCGATCTGCAGCACAGAGGTCCGCTGTCAGCCGAGCCTGCGCCCGACGCCCACCCCGCGCCCCTGGCCAGCCGCTCAGACCTTGGCCTCGCCGAAGACCACGTAGGTGTCTGAGGCTGGGCTCTTAAAGACGTCGGGCTTGGCAATGACAAAGAGGATGTTCTTGGACTTCTGGATGGTGATCCTGGTGACCCCCTGGATCTGTCGTAAGCCCAGCTTGGACATCGCCTGGAAGCACAGTGGTCTCAGACCTGGGCGTGGGCCCCAACGTTCCCAGACGGGGGCTGGGGGAGAGGAACAAGTCCGGGGGAGACGGTCCGCCGCCAGGGGCACAAGGGTTCCGCCACCCACCCTCTGTGGAGCCTCCGAGGTGGCTCACTGAGCAAATAGGACGTCGGACTCAGGCTGAGTCTGTTTCAGCTGACAGCCCAGCCCCAGTTACTTCACCCAAGGCATCTAGTTATTCCCCTTATCCCAGGGCCCCCATCGATGGGATTCATCAGCCATGGGGTGGGAAAGGGTCCCCTTACGCTGCCAGCCCCACTCTCGGGGTGGCTGGGGTTGTCTGGCCAGCCTGGTCCCTCCTGGAGGGAGCAGGGACCCAGATGTCTGCCCAGCCCACCTTTCGGGCCTTCTTCTCACTGCGACTCTGCTTGGCTTTGGCGACTGTCTCCTCGCTCCCGCTGCCGGCCGGGGCCTGGAGAAGAAAGGATGTCTGAGCACCCGAGGGCAGGGCATGGAGCCCTCCCCTAGGCGCACAACCTGCCTTTTCGGGCACCTGGGCTGGGCACTGTGCGGTCTGCGGTCCTGGGAGGTCCTGCTCCTCCAGCTCGGCTGATGACTCCCCATGGCTGTCCGAGTGCTGGCCGGAGCCCAGAGCGTGGGGTGAGTCTGAGGAAGGGGAGTGTGAGGATGGCCTGCCCTTCTTGACAGAGGCAGGGGGCGAGCAGCACTGGCATCCCTGCCCAGCCCTCTGCCCCCTGGGTCCCTGGCTCAGGACAGTGCTGCCGCCTGCATCACACTCACCTTCCTCCAAACTGTCGCCGTCATCCTGCTGCTCAGTGGCTGGGAGCGCTCGAGGGCCGGCTGGGCTCCGGGGCCCGGGGCCCGGAGGCACTTGGCGAGGGGGCGAGAGCCTCGAGGCCGGGTCTTTGGCATGGGTACCCCTCTTGGGGGCTGCCTTGGGGCTGAGGAGGGTGGGGTGGGGTGGGAGGCTGACCTGCCCAGCCCCAGGAGGGGTTGTGATCCCTGAGGAGGCAGCCATCGCCCGCTGGGCTCTTGGCCGAGGTGGTGGGTGGCCCGGAGAGCCCAGGGGCTCCGCGCCCTCCACCAAGTCTTCCCGGGGGCCCCGGCAAGGGCAGGGGGCAGGGGATGCCAGGGGGGTTGGGACTGCCTCCATGAGGGCACCAGGAGCAGGGGGCTCAGGGCTCTGGATCCTGTCTTGGGGTACACTGGGCAGGCCCCCTATGGGGCTTTCTGGAGGCTGCAGTGGGGACGGGCCAAGGACTCCAAGTGCTGCCTGGGCCTGCTCTCCCCTGCCTGGGCCCAGCACAGGCTTTGGCTGCCTCAAGGGCAGTGGAGATGTTGGGGCAGGATCTTTGGCACAGTGCCCTCCCAGCCTGGGCACAGCTCTTGAAGGAGACTCTGAGTAGGAGCCCAGCCCAGCCTCTGAGCCCACAGCCATGGGAAGCCTGTGCCCAAGAGTGGCCCTTCCCTCCTCCACTGGGCTTGGGGGCCCCAACTGGCCAACCTCCAGGCTGGCAGTGGGACACACCCCTGGGCCATGAACCACTGGCTTTAGGGCCTCATGCCCCTGGTGCTCAGCCCCCAGGGCTTTCTTTGAGGGTGAACTGGACTCAGCTCCATCACCCCCATGTGCACAGACATCATGAAAGGCTTCCTCCTCAGGTACCAAAATGCCCTTGGCTACTTCCTCCCCACTGGAGTCAGGCTTTGGGGGATCTTGGGCAGCTGTGAAAGGCTCAGGTATGTCTGGGATCTCTGTGGCAGGCTTGGAGGGGCCTGCATCTCCCTCCAAGGGTGTCCGAGCATCTTCAGGTAGGTCTGGGCCACCCAGATGTATCTGATCCAAGGCCAGAGAGTCTGAGCCTCCAGTGTGGTCTGGGTCTCTTTCCTCAGGCGCTGGCCTTAGTCCCAGGGTCTTTCTTCCTTTCCTACGGGCTGCAGTGACTGTGGGTTCTGTCCCTTGGGTACAGCCTGTGTCAGTCATAAGGGCCTGAGGGCTGGCACTGGTGGCAGATACTTGACTGGAGGGGAGACCTGCATCCTGCAGGGGTGGGGAGGCTGTCAGCTCCTCTTCTTCTGACTGGAGCTCCTGGCTGGCCTCGGAGGCAGATCCCTGGACCACGAGGAGACCTGCATCCTGCAGGGGTGGGGAGGCTGTCAGGTCCTCTTCTGACTGGGGCTCTGAGCTGGCCTTGGAGGCAGATCCCTGGACCAAGGGGAGACCTGCATCCTGCAGGGGTGAGGATGCTGTCAGGTCTTCTTCTGACTGGGGCTCTGAGCTGGCCTCACAGGCAGATCCCTGGACCAAGGGGAGAGCTGTGTCCTGCAGGGGCAGGGATGCTATCAGATCCTCTTCTTCTGAGTGGGGCTCAGGGCTGGCCTCGGAGGCAGATCCCTGGACCAAGGGGAGAGCTGTGTCCTGCAGAGGCAGGGATGCTATCAGATCCTCTTCTGAGTGGGGCTCAGGGCTGGCCTCGGAGGCAGATCCCTGGACCAAGGGCAGACCTGTGTCCTGCAGGGGCAGGGATGCTTTCAGGTCCTCTTCTGACTGGAACTCTGAGCTGGCCTCGGAGGCAGATCCCTGGACCAAGGGGAGACCTGTGTCCTGCAGGGGCAGGGATGCTTTCAGGTCCTCTTCTTCTGACTGGGACTCTGAGCTGGCCTCGGAGGCAGATCCCTGGACCAAGGGCAGACCTGTGTCCTGCAGGGGCAGGGATGCTTTCAGGTCCTCTTCTTCTGACTGGCGCTCCAGGCTGGCCTCGGAGGCAGATCCCTGGACCAAGGGGAGACCTGCGTCCTGCAGGGGCAGGGATGCTGTCAGGTCCTCTTCTTCTGACTGGGACTCTGAGCTGGCCTCAGAGGCAGATCCCTGGACCAAGGGGAGACCTGCATCCTGCAGGGGTGAGGATGCTCTTAGATCTTCTTCTGACTGGGACTCCGGGCTGGCCTCGGAGGCAGATCCCTGGACCAAGGGGAGACCTGCGTCCTGCAGGGGCAGGGATGCTGTCAGGTCCTCTTCTTCTGACTGGGACTCTGAGCTGGCCTCAGAGGCGGATCCCTGGACCAAGGGGAGACCTGCATCCTGCAGGGGTGAGGATGCTCTTAGATCTTCTTCTGACTGGGACTCCGGGCTGGCCTCGGAGGCAGATCCCTGGACCAAGGGGAGACCTGCGTCCTGCAGGGGCAGGGATGCTGTCAGGTCCTCTTCTTCTGACTGGGACTCTGAGCTGGCCTCAGAGGCGGATCCCTGGACCAAGGGGAGACCTGCATCCTGCAGGGGTGAGGATGCTCTTAGATCTTCTTCTGACTGGGACTCCGGGCTGGCCTCGGAGGCAGATCCCTGGACCAAGGGGAGACCTCCACCCTGCAGGGGTGGAGAGGCTGTCAGATCATCTTCTGACTGGGGCTCTGAGCTGGCCTCGGAGGCAGATCCCTGGACCAAGGGGAGACCTGCACCCTGCAGGGGTGGAGAGGCTGTCAGATCCTCTTCTGACTGGGGCTCTGAGCTGGCCTCGGAGGCAGATCCCTGGACCAAGGGGAGACCTGTACCCTGAAGGGGTGGGGAGGCTGTCAAATCCTCTTCTGACTGGGGCTCTGAGCTGGCCTCGGAGGCAGGTCCCTGGACCAAGGGGAGACTGGCATCCTGCAGGGGTGGGGAGGCTGTGTGATCTTCTTCTTCTGACTGGGGCTCCAGGCTGGCCTCAGAGGCAGATCCCTGGACCAAGGGCAGACCTGCGTCCTGCAGGGGTGGGGATGCTGTCAGGTCCTCTTCTGACTGGCGCTCCAGGCTGGCCTCGGAGGCAGATCCCTGGACCAAGGGCAGACCTGCGTGCTGCAGGGGTGGGGATACTGTCAGGTCCTCTTCTGACTGGCGCTCCAGGCTGGCCTCAGAGGCAGATCCCTGGACCAAAGGCAGATCTGCGTCCTGCAGGGGCAGGGATGCTGTCAGGTCCTCTTCTTCTGACTGGGGCTCAGGGCTGACCTCGGAGGCAGATCCCTGGACCAAGGGGAGACCTGTGTCCTGCAGAGGCGGGGATGCTGTCAGGTCCTCTTCTGACTGGGGCTCTGGGCTGGCCTCAGAGGCAGATCCCTGGACCAAGGGGAGACCAGTGTCCTGCAGAGGCGGGGATGCTGTCAGGTCCTCTTCTGACTGGGGCTCCAGGCTGGCCTCAGAGATAGATCCCTGGGCCAAGGGGAGACCAGCATCCTGCAGGGGTGTGGATGCTCTTAGATCGTCTTCTTCTGATTGGGGCTCAGGGCTGGCTTCAGAGGCAGATCCCTGGACCAAAGGGAGACCTGCGTCCTGCAGGGATGGAGACGCTGTCACTTCTTCTTCTGACTGGGGCTCAGGGCTGGCCTCAGAGGCAGATCCCTGGACCAAGTGGAGACCCGCTTCCTGCAGGGGTGAGGATGCTTTCAGGTCCTCTTCTTCTGACTGGGGCTCAGGGCTGACCTCAGAGGCAGATCCCTGCACCAAGGGGAGACCAGCATCCTGCAGGGGTGGGGATGCTGTCAGGTCTTCTGATTGGGGCTCCAGGCTGGCTTTGGAGGCAGATCCCTGGACCAAGGGGAGATCTGCATCCTTCAGGGGTAAGGATGCTGTCAGGTCCTCTTCTTCTGACTGGGGCTCAGGGCTGGCCTCGGAGGCAGATCCATGGACCAAGTGGAGACCTGTGTCCTGCAGGGGTGGGGATACTGTCAGGTCCTCCTCGGACTGGGGTTCCAGGCTGACCTCAGAGGAAAATTCCTGGACCAAGGGGAGATCTGCATCCTTCAAGGGTAAGGATACTGTCAGATCTTCTTCTGACTGGGGCTCAGGGCTAGCCTCGGAGGCAGATCCCTGGACCAAAGGGAGACTTGCGTCCTGCAGGGGTGGGGAGGCTGTCAGGTCCTCTTCTTCTGACTCGGGCTCAGGGCTTGTCTCAGAGGCAGATTCGTGGACCAAGGGAAGTCCTGCATCCTGTAGGGGTGAGGATGTTTTCAGATCTTCTTCTGACTGGTGCTCAGGGCTGGCCTCAGAAGCAGATCCTTGGACCAAGGGGAAACCTGCATCCTGCAGGGGTGGGGAGGCTGTGGGATCTTCTTCTTCTGACTGGGGCTCCAGGCTGGCCTCGGAGGCAGATCCCTGGACCAAGGGGAGACCTGCATCTTTCAGGGTTGAGGATGCTGTCAGGTTCTCTTCCGACTGGGGCTCCGGGCTGGCCTCAGAGACAGATCCCTGGACCAAGCGGAGACCTGCATCCTGCAGGGGTGAGGATGCTCTTAGATCTTCTTCTTCTGACTGGGGTTCAGGGCTGACCTCAGAGACAGATCCCTGGACCAAGCAGAGACCTGCATCCTGCAGGGGTGAGGATGCTCTTAGATCTTCTTCTTCTGACTGGGGTTCAGGGCTGACCTCAGAGACAGATCCCTGGACCAAGCAGAGACCTGCATCCTGCAGGGGTGAGGATGCTCTTAGATCTTCTTCTTCTGACTGGGGTTCAGGGCTGGCCTCAGAAGCAGATCCCTGGACCAAGGGGAGACCTGCATCCTGCAGGGATGAGGATGCTGTTAGATTTTCTTCTTCTGACTGGGGCTCAGGGCTGGCCTTGGAGGCAGATCCCTGGACCAAGGGCAGACCTTCATCCTTCAGAGGTAAGGATGCTGTCAGATCTTCTTCTGACTGGCGCTCCAGGCTGGCCTCAGAGGCAGATCCCTGGACCAAGGGGAGACCTTCATCCTTCAGGGGTAAGGATGCTGTCAGATCTTCTTCTGATTGGGGCTCAAGGATGGGCTCAGAGGCAGGTCCCTGGACTAAGGGGAGACCTGCATCCTGCAGGGGCAGAGATGCTGTCAGGTCCTCTTCTGATTGGGGCTCAGGGCTGACCTCAGATACAGATCCCTGGACCAAGGGAAGACCTGCATCCTGCAGGGGTGAGGATGCTGTCAGATCTTCTTCTGACTGGGGCTCAGGGCTGACCTCAGAGGCAGATCCCTGGACCAAAGGGAGACCTGCATCCTGGAGGGGTGAGGATGCTGTCAGGTCCTCTTCTTCCAGATGGGGCTCAGGGCTGGTCTTGGAGGCAGATTCCTGGGCCAAGGGGAAACCTGCGTCCTGCAGATGTGGGAATGCTGCTGGATCCACTTCTGGCTGGGGTTCAGGGCTGGTTGCAGCAGCAAACTCCTGGCCTGTGTCTTCCTTCAGGGTTTGCAGAGAGTTGAGGTCTGCTTCTCCCTTCAAAATCCAGGGCTCTGGGCCTAAAGTAGCAGTGTCTCCCTCCTGCAGAGGCTGAGATGGGACTGGGGCAACAGGTACTGGTCCCATGGTGAAGCCTGGCTCTTCTCCCTGGGCCTGAGGGCTCACCCCAGTGAGGTCCAGAGATTCCTGTGGGATGTGAGGGGCCATAGCAGCAGAAGACACCTGGGCTGCAGTGGGACCCACCCTCATTATCTTGGAGATGGGTTCCTGACTCTTGGCAGCCTGGCCAGCCTCTCCCTCAGACACCCCAAGAGCGAGCTCTGGGCCCCAGGAGGCAGCCTCCCCAGGGCTGTCCTGGAGCAGTGTGGTGGGCTGTGCATGGGGCTCTCCGCTGTACAGCCTCTCATCATCAGCCCCCGTGTAGGAGGCCGAGTCGGGGTCAGAGGAGGCAGCCGAGGTGTCATCCCGGAAGGCGAAGGCCTCGTCCACGCCCTCGGTGATGGACAGGTCTGACAGCGACTGCAGAGAGGATGCAAATGTGCTATCATCCTCGCCCTCCCCGGCTAGGTCCCCTCTGGGGAGGGGGACCTCCTGCTCCTCTTCGTGCTCCTCCTCCTCCACTTCCTCCTCCTCGTGGGGCAGGGGTGTCACCTCCACCGCCTCCACCTGGAAAATCAGGCTGCCCTGGAAGGGCAGGAGGTAAGCAGGGATCATTGGGTCGTTGGCCAAGAAGTCCAGCTCGAAGAAGTGGCCCTCCTGGCCCCAGGAAGAGCTGCTGTCTGCTGAGAGGCTGGACTCTGGGGACGAGCTGTCCGGGGTCCCGGCAGGGGGCAGCTCCCTCTCATCGACCACAGACCCAGGTGGAGAGAAGCCCCAGCCTGAGGGTACATCCAGCCCTTCGGCCAGGGCCTGCAGGCTCAGGGAGCAGGATGGGGATGAGGCCCAGCTGTCCCCGTCTGCCGTGATGTACGAGCCAGTGGGCGAGGCTGGCAGCGAGTCCCCTGGCTCAGCCTGGGCATCCTGGGCGTCCCTGTGGGGCCCGGGGCCAGGGAGCAGGGTGGAGGCTGTCTTGGTGGGGGTGGAGGGAGGCGTGAAGTAGGAATCGGGGTCTGGGGAAGGGAAAGGCACAGCAGGGTCACCCTGAGAACACAACTCGGGGGGTGGGTTCAGGTTAGCATGCCCACCTTCCCAGTCCCTGAGCTCCGGCACGGTTGCCCTGGGCAGTGGGGCTGCCTGGCGCGTCTCCTCGCCCATTACAATCCGGGGCTCCAGGGAGGCTGGGAGAGGACCTTCAGTAGTAGGCCGAACCTCAGCAGGCCCTGGGCTGGGGCCGCCCTCTGCCTGCACCGCCCAGGCTGAGGGGGCACGGCCCGGCCCTGCATCCCAGCTGGCTCCCTCAGGCGGGGGCCGGGCACCAGGCTTGCCGTGCAGGAACGCGAGAGCCAGGGCGCTGGGCCCAGATGTCAGGGCACAGTGCTCCAGCCGGTCCCCCTTTGGGGTGGTAGCCGCAGCCGCATCACAGGACAGATCTGTGGAGACAGAAGGGCGTGAGAAGGGCAGGCATCTTCCCTGAGAGGCAGCTCCCCGGCTGCAGCTGTCCGTCCCTCAGACAAGAGTTGAGCAGAGGACTGGGGGCCCATGAGGCTGGGTGTCTGCTGAAAAGCGAGGTCAGGAGAAGGAAAAGGTATTGCTGTGCCCGAGGGATGATTTCCAAGAGTTCTGACCGTGGCAAGCAGCCTGGGGTCTGGCTTTCCTCCAAGATGCTCGTTAAAGATGAGACCAGCTCCTGTCTCTTAGGACACTAACTTGCTGACTCCATGCACGTAATCTGTGCCGCCTCAGCCGGGCTTGCCAGGAAAGGTCTGCTCATGACCTCCTAGGTCGGTAGGCCCCCAGGGAGCAGGAAGCCTGCCCTCCACTCAGCTCTGGAACATTCCAGATCTCACACTTGCTGTGAAGTGGGAGTCTTGCTTCTCTGCCTTGTCTCTCTCCTTTCCCTGCTGCCTACACCTGAGAATGACCTGTCAGGGTCTCACTGGGCTCCACTGCCCCACATCTGTTCCCAGAGTTGGCACATGCGAGAGGGAAAGCAGGGGCCACAGTGTGCTGTCTTCAGGCAGGACATCCCAGCTCATTGCTGGCTTGGTGATGGCCAATTGTGGAGCACACAGGGGCCCCGCCCTGCCCCATAAGCAGCTCTGAGGGGCTGTGGGCTCTTGGGGCTCTGAGTGCATTTGGCTGAGTTGCCAGCAGCAGCCACCCCCACAAAGCTGAGGCTCATTTGTGTGGGTCCCATGGCAGCAGATAGGGACTGCCCAGCTCCGGCCATGTTCCTTGGAGGCTTCCACGTTCATCCATGACCACCCACAAGTACATCTCCTGTGCTTCAGCTTTCTGTCTGCAGAGTGGAGGTGAAGCTTAGGGCAGCCCCCTCCCCAGGCTCTGCCCATCTGCTGCAGCAGTGGCAGAACCCTGGGCCCTTCGGCCACACTGCTGGGGTGCTGGCAAGGCCAGAGGGTCCTGAGAAGAGAGTCCTTTGGGTCCACGGGACTTTGATGAACACCTAAACCCTGGAGGTGGGTGTGGCCGGCGGGGCTGGGTGCTGGAGACCAGGCTCCTGGCACTGGCCTGGTAGGGTACCCCTGTGCACCCTCACTGGACTCCAGAACCCTGAGTCCTGGAGGGTGAGGGTGGGGTTGGGCACCAAGAGGACAGAGGAAGGGAAGCCAAAGGTCAAAGATTTTTGTGCCTCATTCAAGGCTGTTAAAACAGTCCAAGCAGAGACAGCCCCGACCCACTTTACTGGACCCAGAGGGAGGCCAGGCCCCTGGGCCCAGTATGGATTTCATCGCCAGGGGACTTCTCACCCACAGCAAGGTGCCCTTCGCCCTCCCAGAGCCACATATGGCTGACCTGCCCAGTGGCCATCCTGGCTGGTCTTCCTGGGCCTAAGGCAGATCCCCTCCAACGCTTGCTCCCTAAGTCTCTCCAAGGATTTGGGCTTGCACTCCAGGGCTGATGCTCCCCAAGCCTTGCTCCCCCAGGGCCGCCCACCTTCCAGCCCTCGGGCTTCCCCAGGCTCCAGCTCCAGCCCTGTCCCTCCCTCAAGAGCCAGAACCAGTCGCCTGCCCAGAGGCAGCTCTCAAGCATGGGGGGGTGGAGGGGGATGGGGAGTGGGGAGGGCAGGCACCCCGCGAATCCGCATCCCCAGTGGCTGGGGTGCAGGTGACAACCCACGCTGCAGGGGCCGTGAGGCCCATTCCGCCCCCCCACCCCCTCATACAATGGGGCGCGGCGGGGGACGCCGACCGGAGCCGGGAAGCTCACGCCTTCAAGTCGCTTTTGGCTCCAGGAGGACATCTAATCCACCCCGCCCTTCCCTGCGGTCCTGAGTAGAGGCCAGGGGTTGGGCTACGTTGGGCTAGGACTGGGGACCAAGGAAGGGGACAGGGCGGGGATGGACAAGGGACGGGAACGGAGAGAGGGTGGGGAGGGGGGCGCGAGGAGAAAATGGGATGGAGATGGTTGAGGGACAGGGTCGGAGAGGGAGAGGGGTAGAGACGGGAGGGACGAAGAGAGGGGTTGGCGGAGACACACGCAGGCGGGAGGGAGAGCGCGCCGCGGCCTCACCTGTGCGGGGTCCGGGCCCGCCCGCCTCCGGCAGCAGCAGCTCGGCGCGGGCAGCCTCCCCGGGCATGGCCTGGCCGTACGCCCGTCCTTCCGTCTTCTGTCTGTCCGTGAGTCCGTCCCGCGGAGCCTGCGCGGCCACCGCCCCTCGGCCGGGGGGTGAAAGGGGTCAGTGGATGACGTCAGCGCCGCCCCGCCCGCCCAGCGCCCCGAGTGAGCGAGTGAGCTTGCGCGGGCGCGCCAGGCACTGCGGTGTGCCGGGAGCGCAGGGGGTGGGACAGCCTCCCTCCCTTCCTCCCCATACCCCACCCCGACTGCACTCTCCTCCCGCGGTCCGCGGCCCCGCCTTTCCCGCAGCATCCCAGCGGGATGCTCCTCTCCTCCTCTCCACTAACGGGAGAGGGGTTCAGGGCCAGTCGGAGGTATCACCCCTTAGTCGGGTCGGGAAGAGGCAGAAGGTCGTCAGAATTTGGGGTGCGGGGCCGAGGAGGGTGTTGGGGATTCTGGGGGACCGGCGCTTTGGGGGTGGCGGCGCCATAGGCCCCCTGCTCGAACACCCGGCTCCCAGCTGCCTGGGCAGGGGTCCTCATCCTAGCCCGGTGCCTCCATCCAAGAGGTGAGCTGGCGCCGCAGCTCTTCACTGATTGGTCGGTCCTCGCACGTCGGTCTCCGTGGCAACCTCCTCCTGGCTCTATGGCAACCAGAGCCGGCAGGCAGGAGCGCATCAGGGAAAGCAGCCCCAGCGGAGCCTCGGGTTGACTGGTCCCCGGGGTTCCCCGCAGCTCAGCGCTGTCCCATCCTTCAGCTCTTGGGCAATGGAAGGAAGACGGAGAAGCTTGCCTTCCTCCATTCTCAGCAGACGTCCCTGCCACGCCCCCAAGGTTGCAAACCCTCCCTGAGCTTTCCGGAGATGTGCCCTTGCTTCCACACAGGCCCTCCTGCATTGAGATTCATCAATCATCCGCCCCGTGCCAGGCTCTGGGAGACAGTTGAACATTGTCATCACCCCAGAGCTAGACGGGGGCGGGGGTAGGCAATCAGAACAGCCATTGTTGTGGGGGAGTCTCCTCCATCCTCAATTTTCTGTTGTCTCTACCGCGGAGCCCATGGAGCCAGCGGCTGCCTGCTGGGCATCTCCCCAATACACCAGGCACCAGACCCATCATGTTCCAATCTAAGCCCTGCATCTTGCATCCCTCTCAGTCGCTGTAAATCTGTCCAGCTATCCACTGATAGGGAGCTCCTGTTCTTTGTCCCTTTTCTCCACACCCATCTTCATCCTCACCTCCTAAGAGTTTCTAAGTTGCCTCTTCCAGAGAATTCCCTAGTGGCCCAGTGATTAGGACTCTTTTTTTTAGCAGTGCTTTCACTGCTGGGGCCCAGGTTCAATCCCTTGTGGGGGAACTAAGATCTCACAAGCTGCGTCACGGCCAACAACAACAAAAACACTTGCTTCTTCCTATGGCCTCTCTCTCATCGCCTTAGCCAAGTCCTTCGTAAGTCTTCACCATTCTGCCAGCCTCTACCACCTGGCAACACCACAGACGTTCCAGAACACAGAAGGCTTTCATCAGTGCCTGAGTAGCTTCCTGTTTGGACAGGATGACACAGGTTTGTCTCTCTGCTCCTCCTGGCTAACCAGTAAAGATGTAGGAAATTAGAGACCACCAGAACTGAACTAAGACAAAAAGAGAAAGGTGAGCCGGGGAGGGACCCCAGGATTGGAGGAGCAGCAGAGCAGCCTACTCAACAGAAGGGGAGAGAGCCTGGCATTTCCTGTCATCACCAGCTACTACGTACTGGGAGGAGGAGCCTCGTATGAACGAAGCCTGTGACAACTCTAGGGAGTGTGGCAGAACTGATATTGAAGACTAAGGGGAAGCCTCCTAAGGGGCCAAGGGAAGCCATTCCTCCCCACCTCATGCACCCCCTCTCTGGCTCTTACCCCCCACCCGACTTTCTGGGGGCCACTGGCAAAGGAAGTTGCACCACAGCAGGCTTTCAGCCCAGCAAGCTGGGTTCCCCCCATCCCCCACAGTCACAGGATGGTCCAGCCCAGAAAGTGCCTCAAGCCCATTCAAGAGCACCAGCAGAACGCGGCAGGAGACCAACACAGTGCTGCGAGTCATGAGAACCACAGGCCACGTAGCTCAGGACTACCCAACAATAAGGAAAATTACAGAATAAGAAAAACGTTAAGAAACACAGAACTTAAGTAAATGAAAATAAAAGCATTAAATTATGTGGTCTGCAGGTAGAAGTGCTGAGAGGGACATTTATAGGACGTTGGAAGAAAGGAAAGGTCTCAGTCAATCATCAAAGTTCCTACCTCAGGAAACTAGGAAAAGGACAAAACCAACTAAACTCAGCAGTAAAAAGGAAACAGAGCCAAGAGCAGAAATCAATGAAACAGAAAACAGGAAAACAGTGGAAGGAATCAATGAAACAAACAAAAAAAAACAATAGTTCTTTGAAAAATCAGTAAAATTGCAAGATGGACAAAAATAGAGAAGACACAAATGACCAGTATGCCATGGGGGCTATGATGGTTAATTTTATGTGTTAGCTTGACTGGGCTTAGGGATGCCCAGATAGTGGATTAAATGCTATTTCTGGGTGTGTATGCAAGGACATCTCTGGAGATAAGCATGACTCAGTAGACTAGATTCGGCCTCACCAGTGCGGGGTGGGGATCAACCAATCAGTTGCTGGGGGGAAGGAGGGTTGGGGCAGAGAAAAACAAAAAGGCAAAGTGTGAATTCACTCTCTTGAGCTGGGATGTCCACCTCTGACCCTCGAACACTGGAGCTCCTGGTTCTCCTGCCTTTGGCCTCCAGGGCTGACACCAGGGTCACCACAGCCCCACCTGCCACCCTTCCACATTCTCGGGTCTTTGTACTTGAACTGAAATTATACCAGTGGCTATGGCTTTCCTGGTTGTTCAGCTTGAGAACAGCCAATTGTGGAACTCCTTGGTCTCTGTAACTGCAGAGCCAATTCCTATAATAAATCTCTTATGTTTATCTCTCTCATATATTCTGTTGGTTCTTTCTCTGGAGAATGCTGACTAATAACAGGGCTAACACTCTGGAGCCTGAAGACATTTCAAGGACACCAAGGGAATGCTACAAACAACTTAATGCTCATAAATTCTACAACTTTGAAGAAATGGACAATTACTTGAAAATTAATATCTACCAAAAATTCAAACAAGATGAAATAGGTAACACAAATAGTCCTAAAACCATGAAAGAAACTGAATCTGTAACTTAAAAAAGCTTTCCCCAAGAAGTCTTCAGGTGCAGATAGTTTTGAGTTCCATGAAGTATTTAAAGTAGTTCAGTTTGGTCATGTCTGACTCTCTGCGACCCCATGGACTGCAGCATGCCAGACTTCCCTGTCTATCACCAACTCCCAAAGCTCGCTCAAACTCATGTTTAGATGAGTAGTTAATTCAACTCATTTAAAGTAAAATTAACATCAATTTTGGACAATCTCTTTCACCCAAATTTGGAACTTCTGTGTTTCAAAGGACACCATCAAGAAAGTGGAAATACAGTCCACAAAACGGGAGAAAGTATTTGCAAGTCCTCTGATAAGAGATATGTTTCTAAATATATAAAGAACTCTTACAACTCAGTAAGACAACCTAGTTTAAAACTGGACAAAGGGTCTGAACAGGTGTGTCTCCAAAAATTACATGTAAATAGGCCATAAGCACATGAAGACACCATTAGTCATCATGGAAAAATGAAAATCAAAGCCACAGTGAGATACCACCTCATACCCAGCAAGATGACTAGAAGTCAGGTTAAGTGTTCCACATCCCTAGCCATTAGGTAAATGCAAGTAAAAAGATAACTCCACACCCATCGGAACTGCTCCGGCTTGAGAACGCCATAGGCTGGCAGGGATGTGAACTTCACGGCTTCCTACACTGTTGGTGGGAATTTAACGTGGTGCAGAACCTTTGGGAAACCCTGTGGCAGTTTCTTAAGAAGCATATAAATCCCTTATGACCCAGCAGCTGTACTCACAGGCACTTGTCCCAGAGAAATGAAAATTTGGGTTTACACAAACACCCACACATGGGACTGAACCACAGTCTAACAGCAATAACAAGGAAGGACCTACTGGATCAAACTCCAGAGAACTGTGCCTGTGAAGAAACTCAATTTCCAAACTTCATATACTACATCATTCCTGTAAGGAACATTCTCCAAGTAACAAAATAGAAATGGAGGACGGGTTGGTAGCTGCTGGTTGGCTCAAGGCCAAGCGGGTAGGTATGAACATAAAGGGCAACATGAGGTATCCTGGTGGTGATGCAGGTGTCCTGCGCATGGACTTTTATTCTTGTCAGTCAGTATCCTGGTGTGACATGTGCCCATCACCTTTGAGGGAACTGGTAGTGGGCACAGGAGGCACTGTGTAGTTTCTTTTAGCTGCAGGGAATCTGAAAAAGTATCTCAACTACAAGCCACAGATCCCAAATGGTGAACATGAGCTTTCCTTTGTGGGACCTCCCAGAGGTCCCCGAAACTGGCTCAGCACCCCTGATGCTTGTCCATCCTGGCCCTTCACTTTGGTACACTCTTCGCTCCCTCACTTTGTCTGGGCTCTGACTCTTAGTCACCGGCTTCAAAAAGCCATCTTGGCTGTTTTGTTCTCTGGGCCAAGAACCTCAGCCAGCCTGTGCCAAGTGCCAAGCACCCACATCCTGTGAGCTAATAACCCAAAGCTTGTGTGACTTGCTTTCTGAGGGACCACTCTGGAGGGAGTGGGGATCAGTTGAGAGCAGGGCCCAGAGAAGCCAGATGGCCCTTCTCTGCTCAGCTCCACAGCAAAGTCTCTTATGATGGACTAGAAGCTAGAAAGCCTTTTTTTTGGGCTTTGGTATTTGGCTTGTGGGATCTTAGTTCCCCAACCAGGGACTGAACCTGGGCCCCCAGCAGTGGAAGCAAGGAGTCTTAACCCCTACACTGCCGGGGAAGTCCTGGTGACGCTGCTGCTGATGTGGTGAAGGGGGCTCTGGGCTCCTTAGGCAGATGGTTACCACAGCGGCGGCAC